TGAGACAAGAACTGAGAGGCCTGCCCAGTCTCTAGGGTTCTCCTATGCTTCCAGTGAAATTTCAAAGACCATAAGTTTATTTCATTGGTTAGAATTAGCAGTCAGAGAAAATGAGGAGTTTCATATGGCAATGCTGTGGGAGTGGAGTAGGGAATATCCTCCCTAAGATCACTTGGAGGGGGCTGGAGCAAAGTGTTAGAATTTACATAAAAACTTGAGGCTTGGAAACACTGAACATCTTAACACATGAAAAAAACAAAAAAAAAAAAAAAAAAAAAAAAAAAAAAAAAGTGCTAAAATGAAAACCAAGAAAGGAAGACAAGCAGACAAGCAGATGCCCAGGACTGACAGAGTGAAGGGAACATTTCCAGCAAACCTCAGCTTTGCAGGCAAATCAGCTTGCTGTTCCCATGGACTTTTGATCTAAGTTTCATACAGAAGGTTAAGAAGGTGAGATCAAGAGCAGTCATGCACACGCTGGGGAGCAGGACCTGGAATGAATGCTGCTGCCTGCCCAGTCATGCTCCTCCCTGTCCTACATCCCTGCCTCCCACTCCGAGCCTCGCTGGCAGTTCTCCTGCCTTCTGATCAACAACGGGCTTCACTTGTAGCAAAAAAGTGCAAACAGATGCTTTCGGCATGAGAAAGCTTCTGGACCACCTCTTCCACAATCCCAGCTGCTTCCCACACTGACCAGCCTGGTTCTTCTGTGCTCAAGCTGCCCTCGTTAACTACTCACTATACTATTTTCAAGCTTCTCACCCAAGCATCCTCATCAAGTAACCTCAGCAAAACTTCTGCTGTTGCAGTTGTCTAAACAATGTACCATTAATGACCTCTAGATTAGTATCATTATTATGCCGTTCATTAAAGAAAGGAAATGTTGATGGCACCTATTTTGCAATGTTAAAATGAGGCATGGATATATTCCAGGCATACAAGAATCCCACTTCCTGTGACTGAAATAAATGTCACATCAGTATTTGCAAGGAAAAGTCAACAGTTCTCCTGGCAAAGAACCAAGTTTTTCAGTGTTAAATTTCTCACTTGTGTTTATTGACAGACACAGTCTCCAGACACTACAGCTCCATGCACATGTAGGCTAAAAAGTACCTAGGAAAGGAATAAACTTGCACTGATCAGGAGAGGCCAGAGGCCATTCCTGGTGGGCACCACCATGATTTGAAGGCAGGATTTAGAACTAAGGATGCAGACTGTTCATGCCTACTGGCCTCAGTGTCTGAAAAGTAATTAAGAAGTCCAGCTAACAGTTCATTTTCCTCATACCAACATTGAAATTACACACTGCCTGTCCCAAATTAGTTTTGCTTGCATACCACTTGCTGCACTTTGTAAATCAAATAATTTTATTTTAATGCTTAGGGGAGAAAACAATGAGGCAAGTAGGAGTTAGATACCTGGTTAGAGGAACCTCACTGTCCTTAGGACCACTGAATGCTTGGGTATTGCAGTGTTGAAAAGCCCCAAGCTGCAGATCTGTCTGGTAGAAAGTGTAGCTGGTGCAGGAGCCAAGAGCCGTAAGGTTTTTCTGGAGAATCCTTATAGAGCTCCACCATAAAGTCCTTACAGATTGAGGATCAAAAAGGGTAGCAGATCAACAATCAGGAGGAACCTGTGAAGCTTTCGGCGTGCCCTGAGCCTGAGAGCACGGCTGCCCATTTGCCCCGTCCTACTTAAGCCAAGATTGTCCACATCTGGTGCTGAGTCAGCACTTCTCCCACCAGATGCAGTTTCCTCCACAGCATCACTGCTGCTACTGTCCAGCTCCTTACAGGAAGCAAAACCCTTTGTATGAGGCATAGTTCTACCTTAAGGTCAGGGTATAGTTCACTGAAGGTATATAACCTTGGGTGAAACCAGCAAAATATAATATGGTTTCAAACATTTTTCTTGGCAGGGTCTGAGGCTCTGACCTTTCCTTCTGTGGAGTGAGAGCTGCTGAAAAGACACAGTCCACTGAAGGCGGGTTACCTTGAAGATATCAAGGAGTGGGAAAACCAAATAAAAACCTTAAAAAAAAAAAAAAAAGTCACAGCATACCTGAGTATTCATAATGAGGCAGAAAAGCCTAGATGCTTGGTTCTGCTGCAAGTCAGAATAGTTAATTACATACCCATTTTTCAAAATCATGGCCAGGAGCCTGACTTTTTTGCCTCTTTATACTGCCTGGCAGCGTTACAGGTCCACAGAACAGATTTAAATCAATTATTTTCTTGTTAGCAGTGATTTATTCTTTCCAGGAGAATTTCTGGCTGCCTGGTGCTATCCAGATTGAGTTGAAGATGTCATGAATTTCTCAGTTTTTTTCTGAGAAAGAAAAAAAAAAACTCTGTTGGGAAGCTCCGTCTGTGTTAGTGATCCCATAATTGGAGATGGAAATGCTTGAGCCGTCTCTTTCCTCATCCTATAAAAAGAGCTATCAGCAAAAAGGGCAACATGCATGTTGTCAGACTCTTGCTTCTGTAGCACCCAGGTTGACTGATTTTTTTCCTGGGGCACTGAGGAAGGTCCTCTTAAGCAAACTGCCTATGACACAGCGCCGACCATCCAAATCTACTCTACTGGTTCTCTAATATCATTTGAGTTTTCACAATTAATTGCAAGCCTCTCCCCTCTACCTTGATAATTGTTAAGTTTAATTTAAACATGAAAACAGATGACGTAAGAAGAAACACAAGGAAAGATAAAGGACAGATTATGTCACAGAACATAGTAGAATGGAAATATTCCTAGGCTGGGGTAGTCCAGCTGTCAATTTAGACATATTAGTCCATCAGCAAGCATATGGGTTTACTTATGGTGGGAACAATGACATGCTGGAATAATGTATACTATGTAAATTACAGTTTACCTAAAGACAGTGCCGTGCACACAAAGCTGCATAGGTCTAGCTTCCAGCAGCTGAGAATGCAAGTGTTCTTGAATATGTGGTAAACTAAAGAGGAACGGTCAGCTTCTAGCTCTGACATAGACCTAGAACTGGTCCAAAAGTTGAAAACTAACCAGGACCTAGCAACAGAGTGGCTGGAGGCCACAAACGCATGAGTCACTACAGCAATCAAACTCAGGACTGCCTGTCTGGAGCCACAGACAGACCGAAGCAATTGAGTCAGGAAGCAACGAAAAAATTTCAGTTCATCACAAGATACGTAATAGTATCCCAAAACTTCAGAAACAGCCTTGGAAACATAGGTCACGAGCGGCACATGCAGAAGCAAAGCACGAAACACCAAGCATTGTGCTTGCTATTTGTGCTGCACAAAGATCAAAGTTAACACGAAGTGTCTAGAAGAAAGGATTTTAGTTTTCTGTGTAAAGTGACAGTAAGTCTTTGTATTCCAGTTTGCACACAGAAATCTCTCAGTAGCCAGCATCTAAGGAGTAAGCTATGGAGGAAATAGAGACTACATCGATATGTAAGTTTCCCTACGTATGTATGTACTAAAGCAGCATGGTTTCATTCCTTGTCCATGCTCCCATTTTGTTTGTGGAAGTTATAGTTTCTCCTGCTTCATTTATTTCAACCTAAAAGACTTTTTAGTACATGTCCCTTACAAGGCCTACTTTTTCCCATTGACACCTCACAAAAGTCAGACTGTATGTGATAATTTATCTTCACTGTCCCCCTTGCTCCTATCCTTTTCCATCCCCATCTGCCTATGCCTTGCTTTTTTCACAGAATAAATCCCTGGACTGTTTCCAAGCATCTCTGAGGATGGGTTTCTTCATAAAAGGAGGAGGAGAGAGGGAAAGAGACTTTTCTCTTTTGTCCATACATAACCAGTGTTTTGCCTTAGAAGTACATGAGCATGTTGTTCATGCTTCATGATGATTTCAACACATGCTTGCTGACAATGTTCTTCATTCTAGGGATGCTTTCAGTAGCCTGAATGTGGTGATAAACACATCACAGCTATGGGAGATGAAGGCTAAGCAGCAGCCCCAAGACTAGCACTGGCTATGCCCCAGAACAGAAGACTGGTTTTGCCTCTGGAAAGAGAGCAAAACAGTCCACAAAGTGCCAGATGTTGGTGGTTCACAGACTAAAAAATCTTGTAAGTATTTTATTTGAGCACCTCATTGAAGGGTATGCAATTGGAAAGCAGCAGGCTGGAAAAGGCATGAAGGGCTCAAAAAAAAAAAAAAAAAAAACAACACACCACATGATTTTGCCATTATATCATTGAATCATAAACTCATAAAATGGTTTGGGTTGAAAGGGACCCTAAAGATCATCTAGTTCCAACCCCTCCCTGCCCCGGGCAGGGCCCCCTTCCCCCAGCCCAGGGGGCTCCCAGCCCCGTCCAACCCGGCCTTGAACCCTTCCAGGGAGGGGGCAGCCACAGCTGCTCTGGGCACCCTGGGCCAGCGCCTCACCCCCCGCACAGGGAACAATTTCTTCCTTACATCTAATCTAAGCCTACCCCCTTTCAGTTTAAAACTGTTACCCCTCATGCTATCACTACAGTCCCAGGATACAGTTGGCTTTCTGAGCGGCGAGTGCACGTTGCTGGCTCATAGTTTTCCACCCACCAGTTCCCCCAAGTCTCTCTCCTGTAACTGGTATTTGCTACTCTGCCCGGCTCCCAGGCTTTTATTTTAATAAACTTTTCTGTAGCAAGAATCCTTTATCTTCAGCCCCAAAACAGTCTCACTGGCTTTTTCTGTTTAAATCTCCTTGGTATCTGTATATTTAAAATATAGTAATAAGTTGCACTGTTTCTTAAAGAAGTATCTCCAAGAATAAAATTATTTTTTCTGGAGAAATACTTACTCAGATACAAATTATTAGTGTCCTCCTACTCATATGCCATGTTTAATGCAGTGAGTCAAAGGGTTAAGAACAGAGGCTCACCAGTAGTTCTGCTTAGGGTGTTGCTGCACACCACAGTTGCCAAAGGTCACAGTCAGCTGTTTTGCCTTTAAAGAAGATGTAGCTCAGCTGTGGGAACCTGTGGGGAGTCACACTCCACACTCACCTGAAAACTGGAAGATAACCAACAGCCACAGCTGTAGAACTGGGCAGGGAAAAAAAGAGAGAAGCTGCGAACTTGCCAAGGTGGATTTCCTCCTGAAGGCAAAGTCACCACTCTGTGAACCTAGAGATAATACATTATTTCTTTGGGCTATATGAGCTTCAATGCAATCTTTCCTATCTAAAGAGGAACATGTTATTCAGGACACCTATGGATAGTTTCTAGATCGTTTCAGTGAAGGGCAGATGGCTTTCCTCATAGCCAGCTGTGTACTTGTCCCACATGGAACAGAATTAAATGCCCTGCTTGGAACAGGGAACAATCAAACCCAGAGGCAGGGTGTAAGCTGGTACCTACTGGACTACCTGTGGAGTTATCAATAATAATGTAGGTACAGTGTATGTACAAATTAAGAGACTATAGGAAGCAACAACTAGCAACAAGCAAGTCTTAGCTGACTCCTGACACACCTTTAAAATCATGGTGAAGGAAATTAAAGACTAGAAAACAGAGATACAGACAGAGTAAGATTTTATCCATGCAGGATGTACCTGACTGACCATTCCTGTGTAAATGTATTTTGGGGTGTTTTATTTAGAACAGCAGTCAGGCGTCCCCAGAAGGCACATCCTACTGCACTAGGACATAAGAATTTCTTTGAAGTGAGATTCCTGCACCACTGATAAATGGGATCTAAAAGAGCACGTTTGCTATACTGAACGAACTCCAGTAAAATCATTTACGTTGTCGATGACACGAGTTCAGTTCTTATCTTTATGAACAGAGGATTTGCAATAGCTCTCTACTATGAGCTCTGAAGCGTGTTTAAATTTGAATTGGGCCCAGGATATCTCCACGTTATAAGCAACAGAAGGATATTGCTTTCCCTAAAAGTAATGAAACAATTAGTTTTATTGAGTTAGGCTAAAGGTGTTACTAAATTAGCGTTGTTGAAAATTAAGCAAACCTTTTTTGATCACCAATTAGGCAAATGAGTGGGCACCGTGGGGAGTTGGGCAAGCAGTAGGATGGGGGGGTGGTCTGTGGTTTGGCGTCACGTAAAGGGGAACCTGGGCGGGAGAGGCCGGGAAAGATGGGAAGCCAGCAGAAAAGGAGGCAAAGCACACCCGATGAAGAGGAACCTGGACTTCGCTGCCCCCCCCCGGGCCCCAATCCCCCCCCCCCCTCCACCCCAACCCCTCCCTAGCCCCTCTCCCCCCCCCCCCCCCCACCCCAGGGCAGTGGAAAAGCACTGAGGCAGCCAGCCTCCGAGAAACAAAGAAAAAGGAACTGTGCAGGTGTAAAGAGGAGAAAACCCACCATTTTTGCTTAACCAATGAAATCTCCTGGTTGCTCTATAAAACGAAGCCCCCGGCCGCGGCGGGGTGCGCGCCACTGCGCCCAGCGCTGTATTCTTTGCTCCACTGACTTTGTCCCCGAATAAAACTTTTTTTTTTTTTTTTTTTATATACGTGAGCTTGTTTCTCACAGGTGGGAGGCGGTGGGGCTGCTGTGGAGGCGCGTTCCGGGGCTGCGGGGGCGACCGGGGCGGAGCCGCGGCGGGAGGGGTGAACCGCGGGGTCCCCGCAGGGGGGAGAGGGCAGGGCGAGCTGCCTCCCGCGGCATGCCGGGAGCTGTAGTCTTCGGGCGGCGGGCGGCCATGCTGTGCTTGCCCCAGGGCATGCCGGGAGCTGTAGTCTCCCAGCACTCGGTGGTGAGTGGCCATGCTGTTCCTGCCCCATGGCATGCCGGGAGCTGTAGTCTCCGGGCGGCGGGCCGCGGGCGGCCATGCTGTGCTTGCCCCAGGGCATGCCGGGAGCTGTAGTCTTCGGGCGGCGGGCCATGATGTGCTTTACCCAGGGCATGCCGGGAGCTGTAGTCTGGCGCCGGGCGGCCATGCTGTGCTTGCCCCAGGGCATGCCGGGAGCTGCAGTCTTCTAGCACTCGGTGGCAGCCGGCCTTGCTGGGCTAGCCCCAGGGCATGCCGGGAGCTGTAGTCTCCCAGCACTCGCTGGTGAGTGGCCATGCTGTTCCTGCCCAAGGGCATGCCGGGAGCTGCAGTCTTCTAGCACTCGGTGGCGGCCGGCCATGCTGGGCTAGCCCCAGGGCATGCCGGGAGCTGTAGTCTCCCAGCACTCGATGGTGAGTGGCCATGCTGTTCCTGCCACAGGGCATGCCGGGAGCTGTAGTCTTCTGGCGCCGGGCGGCAATGCTGTGCTTGCCCCAGGGCATGCCGGGAGCTGCAGTCTTCTAGCACTCGGTGGCGGCCGGCCATGCTGTACTTGCCCCAGGGCATGCCGGGAGCTGTAGTTTTTGCGGACGCGGCTGCCGGACAGCTGCGGTGCTTTCTGTGGTGCGCGGCCCCCTCAGCGCGGCTCGAGGTGTAGTTTTGGTGCCGGTTTTGTGTGTTTTCCTGCGGATTCCCGGCTGCTCCCCGAAAATGCGGTACAGCGGCTCCGGGGCTGCGCATGCGCGGTGGGGACGCCCTGTGCCGCGCTCGCCACTGCCTCCTGGCGAACAAAATGCGGTACTGCAGCCCCGGAGAGGCGCATGCGCGGTGGGGGCGCCCTCTGACGCGCTCGCCACTGCCGCCTTGCGAACAAAATGCGGTACTGCAGCCCAGGAGCCGCGCATGCGCAGTGGGGGCGCTCTGTGCCGCACTTGCCACTGCCGCCTTGCGAACAAATTGCGGTACTGCAGCCCCGGACATACGCATGCGCGGTGGGGGCGCCCTCTGACGCGCTCGCCACTGCCGCCTTGCGAACAAAATGCGGTACTGCAGCCCCGGAGCCGCGCATGCGCAGTGGGGGCGCTCTGTGCCGCACTTGCCACTGCCGCCTTGCGAACAAATTGCGGTACTGCAGCCCCGGAGAGGCGCATGCGCGGTGGGGGCGCCCTCTGACGCGCTCGCCACTGCCGCCTTGCGAACAAATTGCGGTACTGCAGCCCAGGAGACGCGCATGCGCGGTGGTGTCGCCCTCTGAGGCGCTCGCCACTGCCGCCTTGCGAACAAAATGCGGTACTGCAGCCCCGGAGATGCGCATGCGCAGTGGGGGCGCCCTCTGACGCGCTCGCCACTGCCGCCTTGCGAACAAAATGCGGTACTGCAGCCCCGGAGATGCGCATGCGCAGTGGGGGCGCCCTCTGACGCGCTCGCCACTGCCGCCTTGCGAACAAAATGCGGTACTGCAGCCCCGGAGAGGCGCATGCGCGGTGGGGGCGCCCTCTGACGCGCTCGCCACTGCCGCCTTGCGAACAAATTGCGGTACTGCAGCCCCGGAGAGGCGCATGCGCGGTGGGGGCGCCCTCTGACGCGCTCGCCACTGCCGCCTTGCGAACAAATTGCGGTACTGCAGCCCAGGAGCTGCGCATGCGCGTTGGGTGCGCTCTGTGCCTCACTCGCCACTGCCGCCTTGCGAACAAAATGCGGTACTGCAGCCCAGGATATGCGCATGCGCAGTGGGGACGCCCTGTGCCGCGCTCTCCACTGCCGCCTTGCGAACAAAATGCGGTACTGCAGCCCCGGAGAGGCGCATGCGCGCTGGGGGCGCCCTCTGACGCGCTCGCCACTGCCGCCTTGCGAACAAATTGCGGTACTGCAGCCCCGGAGCCGCGCATGCGCGCTGGGTGCGCCCTCTGAGGCGCTCGCCACTGCCGCCTTGCGAACAAAATGCGGTACTGCAGCCCAGGAGAGGCGCATGCGCGTTGGGTGCGCCCTGTGCCTCGCTCTCCACTGCCGCCTTGCGAACAAAATGCGGTACTGCAGCCCAGGATATGCGCATGCGCAGTGGGGGCGCCCTGTGACGCGCTCGCCACTGCCGCCTTGCGAACAAAATGCGGTACTGCAGCCCAGGAGACGCGCATGCGCGGTGATGTCGCCCTCTGACGTGCTCGCCACTGCCGCCTGGCGAACAAAATGCGGTACTACGAGAACCCCTGCACCCTGTCTGAACCCCCGAAACCCCTGCATGTCAGGAAGAACCCCTGCACCTTGCCAGGACACCCTGAACCCTGCCTGAATCCCCTGCACACCAACAAAACCACCTGCACCCTAACAAGCACCCCTGAACCCTGTCTGGGCTCCCTGCATCACAAACAACCCCCCTGCACCCCAACCAGAACCCCCTAAACCCTGTCTGAAGCCCCTGCACCCCAACAAGAACACCTGCACCCTGTCTGGACCCCCTGCACCCCAACCAGAACCCCCTGCACCTTGCCTGGACCCCATAAACCCCAATAACACCCCCTGGACCCTGTCTGGGCTCCCTGCATCACAAACAAACCCCCTGCACCCCAACCAGAACCACCTGAACCCTGTCTGAAGCCCCTGCACCCCAAACAGACCCCGTGAACCCTGTCTGGGACCCCTCCATCCCAACCAGACCCCCCTGCACCCCAACCAGAACCCACCGCACCTTCCATGGACCCCCTGGACCCCGTCTGAACCCCCTGCACCCCAACAAGAACCTCTGCCCCCTGCACCCCAAAGAGACGCCCTGCACCCCAACCAGAACACTCTGCACCTTGCCTGGACCCCCTGAACACTGTCTGAACCCCCCTGTACCCCAACAAGGACCCCTGCAACCTGTCTGGGTCCCCTTCAACCCAAACACCCCCTGCGCCCCCATCAGAGCCCCCTGCAATTTGCCTGGACCCTCTGAACCCTGTCCGAACCTCCCGCACCCCAACAAGAACCCCTGAACCCTGTCTGAACCCCCCTGCACCCCAAACAGATCCCCCCAACCTTCTCCGGCAACCCTGAACCCTGCCTGGTTTCCCTGCAGCATAATCTCTCAGATAAATAACAGAAAAAAAAAAAAAAAAAAAACAAAAAAAACCCAAACTTTATTTTTCAGCACAGTTAATCAACACTCCGCAAACGTAACAAACGTCAGCTTCAAACACCCGGTAGAGGAGAACTATCGCGACAGACGCTCCTGGGGTTTATCGCCACCCAAACCCCTCAGTCACTCACCGAATTAAAAAAAAAAAAAGAGTCTCTCAACCCGGAAAAAACTCTGGAGGTATCAAGAGCCCCCGTTCCCCCCCGCTGCCCCCCTCTACGCAAATACACTTATTAACAAAAACCAGGCCAAAACCGCTCAGGCCACGCCCCGCCCAGCCGGCTCCCATTGGCGGGCGGGCCGGTGACGGGCGGAACCCCACGCCAATGGGGCGGCGGGGGCGGGGTGCAGCCGTCACCTGACTGGGACGGCGCCGGAGCGCCGCCATGGTGAGCGTTGGAGGAGGAGGAGGAGGAGGAGGAGGAGGAAGGGGGGGGGGGGGGGGGAACTGGAATGGGACTGGGAGCGCTGGGATGAGGGGGAGCGGGGGGGGAAGGGGCGCTTGGAGGCACCGGGGTCCCGGAGTGACTGGAATCGGGGGCGGGGGGGGGAGCTGGGGGAGGCTGACTGCCCCCCCCCCCCCCCCCCCCCAGACCACGGCGCTGACCCAGGGGCTGGAGCGCATCCCGGACCAGCTGGGCTACCTGGTGATCAGCGATGGGGCCGTGCTGGCGGTGAGGCCTGGGGAGGGGCACCCCCAAAACCGGGGCCCCTGCGAGGCGGGAGCGGGGAGCAGGGGGGGACAAGCACTTGTATGCGGGGAAGGGGCAGCCGGACAGACAGCCGGGTCCTGGGGGGGGGTACTTGGGTATTGGGGGGGGTACCCGGGTATTGGGGGGGAGCAGACACCCGGGTCCTGGGAGGGGTACCCGGGTATTGGGGGGAGCAGACACCCGGGTCCTGGGAGGGGTACTTGTGTATTGGGGGGGTACCCGGGTATTGGGGGGGAGCAGACACCCGGGTCCTGGGGGGGGGGTACTTGGGTATTGGGGGGGGTACCCGGGTATTGGGGGGAGCAGACACCCGGATCCTCGGAGGGGTACTTGGGTATTGGGGGGGTACCCGGGTATTGGGGGGAGCAGACACCCGGGTCCTCGGAGGGTTGGGAAGGGGTACTCGGGTATTGGGGGGGTACATGGGTATCAGGGGGAGCAGACACCCGGGTCCTGGGAGGGGTACTTGTGTATTGGGGGGGTACCCGGGTATTGGGGGGAGCAGACACCCGGGTCCTGGGAGGGGGGCGGGAGGGGGTAATCGGGTATTGGGGGGGTAAGTGGGTATCAGGGGGAGCAGACATCCAGGTCCTGGGGGGGGGGGGGAGGCAGGAAGGGGTACTCGGGTATTGGGGGGGTACATGGGTATCAGGGGGAGCAGATACCCAGGTCCTGGGGGGGGGGGTGGGAAGGGGTACCCAGATATCGGGGGGAGGGTACCTGGGTATCAGGGGGTGCAGACACCCCAGGCCTGGGCGGGGAGTGCAGGAGGGGAATGGGTCCCCGGCTATCTCGGCACGGAGGAGGCTCCGACGCCCGGGTCCCACTGACGCTGTCCCCCCACCCCACCTCAGTCGTCAGGCGACCTGGAGAACGACGAGCAGACGGCCGCCATCCTCTCCGAGCTAGTAGCCACGGCCTGCGGGCTGCGGCTCCAACGCGGCCACGATCCCCCTTTCAAGCGCCTCTCAGGTGAGTGTGGGCTGTCCCTGGGGGGGCCCTGACCCCCCCCCCCCAACCCCCGGGGCCAAGACAGCGTCCCTCTGTCCCTGCACTCCCCCAGGCGTCTTTGACCACTGGACATAGTGGTGGCACTGCTGTCCCCAATGTTTTAGGGGTGACCTAAGTTCTTCCCCCTGGTAGCGGTAGCCGTGCTGTCCTTAGGGCAGCTGTGACCCTCGCGCTGTCCCCATGCTGGTGGCCAGAACAGCCCCCACCACCGTGCTGTCCCCACGGCAGTGTCCCCACTATCCTGGGGGTGGCAGTGCCCCCAGTGTCCGTGGGGCACTGGCGGTGGCCCTGTCCCTGTGCTCACCCTGTCCCCACAGTGGTGTTCGGGGAACACTCCCTCCTCGTCACTGTCTCTGGACAGAAGCTCTTCGTGGTGAAGCGGCAGAACCACGTCCAGGAGCCCGTTGCCGTCTGAGAGGTGTCCCTGCTGTTGCCAAGAGTGGGGGGGACCGGTCCCCCTCATCCCCACTGTCCCCAGAGCCTAACGGGAAGGGGTGGGGGACACACACCGGCTTCCCTGGCCCTGCAGCAACACCCACTCGTGTCCCTGTCGCCTCGGGGGGGGCCTTGGGGACTGGTCCTCCACATCCCTGCAGTCCCCAAGGCCGCGTGGCATCCCCTGCGTGCCTCGGGACCCCACAGTGTCACCCCCCCCACACACGCTGTCCCGCTAATGAGGCAATAAATTATGTCCTGGTGTCCCTGTCCCCCATCCGGCTTCCTTGGGGGGGGATACGGGTCGACTCAGGACAGGTCAGAGGGTGAGGTACGGGGCCTTCACATAGAAAAGGGGGATGCAGAGCCCTTCGGGGGCTCCCACTCCCTGCTGATGTCACCCCAAGTGACAGACTTGTCCCCGTGTCCAGGCTAGCGCTTTATTGGCACACACGCACACATACACAGACGGCAGCCAGCGCAGAGACAAATAAATAATGGGGGGGCGGAGGTGCCACCCGTATCGGGGGGGGGCACAGAGACGTCCCCGTCCCCAGCGAGGCACGGGAGCTGGCAGTGCAGGACTCGCCTTGGGCTTGGCACCTTGGGGACAGGTCACGGTGTCCCCTGTGGCCCCAGGGACAGGTCCCGGTCCCTTGTTCCCCACTCATCCCCACCCCCTCCCTCCCCACCCGCCCCACCAGCCAAATTCAAGGCAACGCAGGAAGCTAAAAGGGGTGTAAACAGTGCTGGGACCAGCCGCAGGACGTCCCCCCGCTTCCCTCTGCCACCCTCATCCTCAGAGCATTGTCACCCCCAGGCTGGGGACAGACCCTTGTCCCCATTGGTACCCCCATGGCACATTCCAGTCCAGTCCCAGTGAAGCAGCAGGTTCGTCCCCTGGGTGTGTAGGAACACAGCCCCATCCCTAGCCCCCCACCCCCCAAGCTCATCCCCTTCCAGCGCAGTCTCCAGGACGCAGCAGGATTCGTCCGTCCCCATTGTCCCCGAGGTCCCCGTCACTTGACGGGCTCCACGACCAGCACCTTGCACTCCCGCTTGGCAATCTTGTCTAGGGACAGCACCGTCTTCTCGGAGGGCAGGTAGAGGGGACGCCCCACGGGGGACCCCACCGGCGGGGTGATGGCACGTCGCTCCATCACGCTGCCCGACCTGGGGTGTGGGGAGGCAAGTGGAGGCTGCTCTGGGTCCCTGCGGGGCTGGCTGTCCCCTCCCTGCATTCTCCCCTTTGTCCCACGTCCTCTCAGATATCCCCCCCGACGCGTCCATCAGCCCCAGCCGTCCCCATCCCACATCCACCCTTGTCCTGGGTGTCCTCCCTGTCCCAGGTGTGCCCCGTCCTGCCCGTCCCCTCACCCCATCACTCTGATCCCACCGCCGTGCTCCTCCCGTTCTAAGTGCCCTGCCTGTCCCACGTGTCCCTCTGCCAGGTCCCCGCCGTCCCCCCCCGGTACCTCATGAGGTGGCTGCGGGATGGCTGCTGGTGGGAGAAGGACTGGGACCGGCCCAGCCCAGCCTGGTGCCGCTCCACCAGGTCCCGCACAGCCGGGCTGCTGGGGCTGCTCTTCCGTGACACGGGCCGGGCCTCGGGCGGTGGGTTGGCCACGCTGGCCGTGAACTGCAGCTTCAGCTTCATGTGCTGGGACATCTGCAGACAAACCAGGGGCGGGGGGGGGGGGGGGGGAAGCACGGTGATGCCAAGCCAGACCCCGGGGGTGTTTGCGTCCCCCTCCCAGCAATCAGGCAGGCTCACCTCAAAGAGCCCGGCCCGCAGTGCCTGGAAGGCCACGCGGATGGTGAGGGCGCTGCCTTTGCGCGAGTAGCCCAGGTTGTTGAGTGGCGTGTGGCACACGATGGCGTCCAACGCCGCCTGTGTGGCCCGGCGCTCCTCCCCGGACAGCTTCTTCCCTGCGGGGACCACCAGCACGGCGGGGACAGGACCGCTGGCCCCCCCCAGCCCAGCCACCTCCAGCACCTCCTGGCTCTGACCGTCCCGTCCTGCTCACCCCCTCTTCCCGCGCCCCGTCTGTCCCCTTAGCTGCACCCAGAGGCACCTCCAGCCCCTCCAATCCCCCTCCCCACCCTCTCAGTCCCCCCGCCGAGCCCCGTGCCCTCTGTCCCCACCAGCCGTGGCGGTCTCGGGGGTCCAGACGAGGCGCACGGCCAGGAAGTCCTGGAGGTCGTTGAGCAGCGTGTAGGTGACGGTGAAGCGCTGCCGAGCCCGCACCGGCGACTCGCAGGCAGCCGTCATCACAAAGCGTGGCCGCTCCAGGCGGATGCTCGGCAGCCTGGCGATGGCAAAAGTTGGGGGGGGGGGGGTGGGTTATTGATGTGGGGGTGGCCCCCAGGAACTGTGGGGACACGGCACTAGCAACGTGGGACAGCCCCAGGGAGCCAAGAGGATGTGGGGACTGGGAGATGGCCACACGGCAGCCCCAGGACATGAGATTAATGGCACAATCAGGGGTGTCTCTGGGTTCCCCCTCCTGGGGGCAGGAGGATCTGGGGGTCCCTCCCTGCTCGGGGACAGGATACATCAAGGGCATTCAGGGCGGCTCTCACCGGTAATGCGTGTAGATGCTGCTGGTGAAGGGCAGTTTGGGCGTTGACCACTGGATCACGGCCACCAGTGGGACCTCCAAGCCCTGGGTATGGGGGGACAATGGGTCAGAGATGTTTCTGTCAGCATTGCTCCCAGCGAGGACCATCCACACGTCCCCCTAGGCTCCCTGGCAAGGACAGACACCTCGTGGACCAACAAAGACAGTCCCCCAAGGCGAGGACGGTCTCCGCTGCCCCCAGGGGAGGACAAGGACCCCAGACAAGAACAGTGTCCACCCCCAAGGCCACCAACCTAGATGGTGGCTCCTGATCTCGGCCCAGAAAACATCTCCCACCTAGGACGGTCCCTGCCCGGGTTGTCCCCCAGTGTTCCCTCGTGCCTGGCCTCAGGGCAGTCCCCCCAGCCCTGAAGGTCCACCCCACCGCTGTCCCCTCACCTCCTTGGCGTCCTCGGGGGGCCTCTCTGGTGCCTGGAGCTGGAAGAGGAAGTTGTGCTCCTCGAGGGCGCTGAGGGCACAGGGGCAGGCCGAGCCAGCGCCGGCCACGCGGCAGAAAGCGCCCACGGGCACCTCGCCCGAGTGGTGGCTGCAGGAGAGGGCATGGGGACAGCTCAGGGACACGGGGGGACCCAGGCTGCCAGCCTGGAACCCCAGGGCTTCCCCAGGGCCAGGGCATGGCCCTGGCCTGAGGACCCCATGGGGTCTGGGAGACAGCGTGGCCATGCCCCCCCACCCCCGGGATGGTCCCCCAGCTGTCCCAGCACTCACCAGACGTCATCGACCAGCAGCACAGAGCCATCAGGCATGACAGGCAGGTAACTGGCATTGAAATTGGGCAGGATCTGCACGTCCCATAGCGAGATCTCCTCCTGGGACCACCCGTTGAGCACTGGGGACGGGGACATCAGGGGACGCCACCGTGGCCCCAACCAACCCGTGTGGTATCGTCCCCCTGCCCCGCATCCTCCACCCTGTCACAGCCACCCCACGGATGTCACCCCAGGGAGCCCCGTCCCGCTCACCTTTCAGCACGGTGAGGTACTTCCCAGACACGGTGAGCTGGCGGCATCGCACCACGGGCGGGGGCAGCACCGTCAGCAGGGTGCTCACTGCGGGGACACGCCGGGCGGGTCAGGGGCTGCAGGGACAGGGAAGGGGGGACATGCAGGGTGGGAGAGGGGACGCAGGGATGCTCCTACCTTGCGCCTTGAAGGCCCCCTGCTCCTGGCGGAAGACGTGCGCGGGTGCCCGCGTCTGCAGCAGGCTCAGGTACCCGCCGCCCTCCTGCAGCTCAGGCGGCTCTGCGTCCCTTTTCCACACCGTCACCACGATCTGCAGACAGCAGGGACGTGGGGCGCAGCCCTCAGGTCCAGCCCTGAGCTCCCCCTGTCCCCCACAGCCCCCCGAAAGCAGCTTTGACGGACCCGGAGAGGGGATGGAGCAGGGCTGGATCCTGCCCTCTGTCCCATGTTGCTGTGCTGTCCCCAGGGTCCCCACGCTGTGACCGAGGCCCCCTCCTGCCCCCCAATTCTACCTCGATGGATCCAGAAAAGAGGACCAGGGCTAGACCTCCGTGATCCCACGCTGTCCCCAGGATCCTGTCCCCAATGACTGCACATTGTCCCCAAGGTCCCCTCCTGCCCTTGAGATCCCCACGCTGTTTCTGAGGCCCTCTCCCATCCCCAAGGTCCCCATGCTGTCTCGGAGGTTCCCTCCCTCCCCCAAGGTCCCCTCCCATTCCCAAAATCCCCCCACTGTCTCCGAGGTCCCCTCCCACCCCCAAGGTCCCCTCGATGTCCCCCGACATCCCCCTCCCGACCCCCTCAGCCTCACCTTGGCCTTGACGGTGCCAGGCGGCAGCTTGTCAAGGGAAATGGTGAGGGGGAAGATGACCTCGTCTGTGGACACGATGGGGTCCTCCACCGGTATCTGGGGGCACAGCAGGGCTCAGCACCGCAGCCACCCTCAACCCCTTCCCGCTCCACATCCCCCCTTTGTCCCCGTCCCCCCCCCCCCCGCCCCACATCCCCCCTGTCCCCAGCGTCCCCCCGTCCTCCCACATCCCCCCCCAAACCCGCCCCTGTCCCCGTGTCCCTTCCCGACCGCATCTCCCCGGTCCCCGGCGCCCACCCCGGCAGCGGGGCGCCCCGGGGGGCCCTGGCTGTGGGTCAGCAGCGCCCGGCAGTCCCGGAAGACGGTGGTCTCCGGCGAGGCCGCGCTCCCGGTGCCGTCCCCGGTGCCATCCGCATCCCCGTCCCGGTCCCCGCCGGGCTCTGTGCCGCCGGGGCTGACGCTGGCCAGGGCTGCCAGCTCGGCCGCCAGCTCGGCCCAGGGCGGCCGGCCCGGCCCGGTGCCGCCGCCGCTACCGGGACGGCAGCGGAGCACCAGGAGGAATCGCACGGTCTCGCCCAGGTAAAGGTGGTTGCGGCGAGGCAGCGCCCGGTACCGGCCCGGTTCCCCCGACAGCAGCTCCCGAGCCGCGAACGGCACCGCCGGGAAGTACATGAAGTAATCGCACTGCGACTCCATGGGCACCGGCCGCGGGGAAGGGGGGGGGGCCTGGGGACCGGGAGGGAGAACCGGGGGATCTTAGGGGAGAGGGACAGACCGCGGCGGTACCCCCGGAGATCGGGGGGGTGCCGGGGGCCGGCCGCACCGGGAGGGATCGGGGGAGGGGGGGCGATGCTAGGGCAACCGCGGGTTCCGGGCCAGGGGAAAGCCCGGAGACGAGGGAACCGGGGCGGCGGAGGGAGGAAGGGAGGGAGGGGAACCCGCGGGCCGGACCGGCAGGATACCGCGGGTGGGGATGCCGGGCCAGGCGTGCCCGGACGGGTCTCCCGGAGCCGGGAGGGGCCGGGGGAGGGGCCGGGAGCGGGGGAGGGGCCGGGAACGGGGCCGCACGGCGCTACCGGAGCGACCGGGCGCGGCGGGGAGGGACGCGCGCAGGGCGCGGCGCCGAGCACCGAGCGCCAGGGCCTGGTAGTGCAGCCGAGCGCCGAGCGCATCGATGCTTCCACCCTCCCCACACACACACACATACACCCCCACCGCCCAGCACAGGGACCAATAGCCGCCCGGGAGGGGCGGGACTTCCTGGAGTGATTGGTAGCAGCAACACCCAATCAACGGCTTGATTCCAGTCTTTATTGCCATAGTTACCACAAAGCGCGCCTTTGATTGGGCGGGGCCGGCGCCAGCCCCTTCCCCCAGGGGGTGCTGGGGCTCCGTGTGCACGTGGGGGGGGGTGGGGGCCCATTACCCTGCCCTGGTAAACTGAGGCACGGAGCTGTACCATGAGGGGGGTGGGGGCCCATTACCCAGCCCTGGTAAACTGAGGCACGGAGCTGTACCATGAAGGGGGTGGGGGCCCATTACCCAGCCCTGGTAAACTGAGGCACGGAGCTGTACCATGAGGGGGGTGGGGGCCCATTACCCAGCCCTGGTAAACTGAGGCACGGAGCTGTACCATGAGGGGGGTGGGGGCCCATTACCCAGGCCTGGTAAACTGAGGCACAGGGTGGTACCACGGGAGGATCCCGATCCCAGTCAGGTTTCAGGGTGGCCATTACCAGCCCAGGTAAACTGAGGCACAGAGCTGTACCACGGGGGACCCCAATCCCTATTAGACCGGGGGGAGGGCGAGGTGGGGTGGGAGGCAGCATTACCCACAGCCGGTAAACTGAGGCACAGAGTGGTTCCATGGGGGGACCCTGGCCCCCATCGGGGTTAGGGGGCCCATTGCCCAGCCCAGGTAAACCGAGGCACGGCGCCGTTCCCCTGTCGCTGTCAGGGCTCCCCACCCCGCTACCCCCCGGGCGGGACCGACCCGTTCCCCCCCCCAAACTGCCGCCGGTCGAGGATGTCCTTGTACTGCAGCTCGGGGGTGGCGAGGCGAGCGCAGCGCTCCCGCTCGGCGGGGGGCAGCCCGGCCCGCAGGGCGTACCCCAAAATCTGGGTCCGGCCGGGGGGCTGGAAGGGGCGGAGGCGGCCGTCGGCGATGGCGCGGGCGGGCGAGGGCCCGCCGCCCCGCAGGCAGCGCCGGGCCAGGGCGGCTCGTCGCCGGCGCAGACGGGCCACCTCGTCCCGCAGGCGGGTGGCCCCGAAAGCCTCAGCCCGGCGCCAGAAGGAGCGGTTGAGGTGGGCGTAGAGAGCCCAGTCGAGGCCGTTCCATGCCCGCAGGCGGGCGGCCTGGGAGGGCGAGACGCGGGGGGCGTCCCCGGCCGGGCGGCCGTTGTGGGCGAAGGCGGCCACGGCTTCCTCCGGCCAGCACAACGCTTCGCGCAGCAGCACCAGCGACTCGTCGAAGTGCTCGGCCAGCAGCACCAGCGGGAAAACCCGCTCCAGCCCCTCCAGCGCCGCCGTCACCCCGGCCCTGTCCTCCTCGCCCACCGCCGGCAAACCAAAGTCGAACCACTGCAGGTTGCGGGCGTAGTGGTTGCCCCGCGCCCCGGCCTCGTAGAAGCGGCCCGGAGCTGCCAGGAAGGCGGCCAGCGACGGGGCTCGCCGGAAAGCCGGCGCCACAGCCCGGTAGTAGGCGAAAGCCGACTCGCCCAGCGTGCCGGGGTCCCGCACGATGGAGAAGTAGAAGCTGTCGTTGGGCATCACCTTCTGCACCTGGGCAGGAACCGCGGCGGCGGCTCGGCACCCCCGCCGGCCGACCCTCGGGGTGTCCCCTGGACCCCCCCCGTTGGCCCCCCCCCCCCCCCAGCCTCCTCCGTCTGCCCCCCAGCCACCCATTGCCCCCAGACCTCGTCCGCCTCACGTTACATCCCCCCATCTCCTCCAGACCCCAGGCATCCCCACCAGTTTCCCTTCTTTCTCTTTCCAAAACCCCCTCCATCTCCCCTTCATGTCCTCCCCCCCCCTCCCAAACCCAGCCACCCCCCACCCCTCTCCGCCCCACACCCCCCAACCCACTCCCACTCCCCCACTTCCCCGCACACACACCCCCTCCTGTCCCCCCCACGTCGTCCCCGGTACCTCGGTGAGGTTGAAGCGCATGTGGTGGCAGATGATGTCAAAGGGGGGACCCCCCGGCTGGTACCCCTTGACCCGCTCGGCCCGGAAGGGGCTGGGGTACCCGAACTGGTAGCGGTGGGGCAGGGCGAAGCGCAACCCCTGTGCCTCCCCGAAGCGGTGCAGCAGGTTCACCACGCTGCTGCCCCCCGTCTTGTGGGTCTTCAGGAAAACCAGGTGGGTGCGGGGCTGGCAAGGTGCGGGGGGGTGGCCAGGGTGGGCCGCGGGGGCCCTGAGGGCGTGCGGCAGGATCAGGGGGTGCTGGTGGGGACCCCCCCCCCCCATCCTGCCAGGGGGGTTCAGCCCCAAGGGGGTCAGGCACCCCCATCCCATCCATCCAGGGGATGCCCGAGGGGTCAGGGACAAGAATCCCACCCGAGCTGGGACATCCGCTGGGTGCGGCCCCGGGGGATTTTGGGGGTGCAGCGTGTGGTGAGCCAGGGAGGGGTCTCACCTGCGCTGGAGGGGCCCCCCCAGGAGCTGCAGCGTGAAGCCGATGGTGACGCAAACCCCCAGGGCAGCTCCCAGCGTCTGGAGCCGGCAGCAGGCGGGCGGCAGTTTCATCGTCTGGGGGCGGGGGGTGTGGGGTGTTTGGAGGGGGTGTGATGGGGGACAGGGTGGCTTCAGAGCACCCCGGCGTCACCTTCCTGGGGGACACAGGGGTGCTGCCACATCGGGGTCCCCCTGGTCCCACCAAGCCAGCCCCAATTCCGCCTGGGAAGAGCCCCGGGACCGCCCAAAGCCACGTCGTGATGCCGGGGGGGGGGGGTCTGCGGGGGTGTTGGGTACCCGCCAGCCTGGCCCCACCCGGGGACGGCCGGGGCTCTTACGGGAAGGGGATGGGGATGGGGACAGGGATGGGCCACCGCCCCAGGGCAGATCTCTGACACCCCCATCCTTCCCTCTGCCCCAGGACCCCCCCCATGTCCCCGGGGCCCCTCTGTCGCACTCCAGGACCCTCCGCTCTCCCCATAGCTCCAGGAAACCCCTGTGTCCCCCCGTCCCCCTCCAGGACCCCCCCTTTACTCCTTGTCCCTTCCAGGACCCCCCTGTCCCCCTCCATAAATCACCATCTGTCCCCCACAGCCCCTGCCCCACAATGCCACGTCTCCCCCTGTACCCCCCCAAGGACACTCCCGTCCCCTGACCCCATGTCCCCAGCCGCGTCCCGACACCCCTTCTGTCCCCCCACCCCCCTGCTTTGCTCCTGAGCCCTGGGACCCCACATTCCCCTGGGACCCCTGCAGCCCCAAACTCTTGTCCCACTCACCCCCCGTGTCTCCCTGTACCCCCCCATCCCTCCTTCACATTCCCAGGCTGCCTGCCCACACCCCACCTTCCCCCAGCCGTGCCCCGGGGCCCCCCCCAAGCCCCCCCAGGTCGACCCCCAGACCTGTATCTCCCCTCCAGGACCTCCTCCCCCGGGTCCCCCCAACTCCCTGTACCCCTCCTGTCCCCAGACCCCTGGATCCCCCACCTCCCTCATCCCCTTCCAGCCCCCCCTGCCCCCTCCAGTGCTGCACAGCCACGTGCCCCCCCTGAACCCCGAGTGCCATCAGGACCGCTGACCCCTACGTGACCTCACAGTCTCCTCGTCCCACTGTCCCCAGTGTCCCCCAGGCCCCGTGTGGCTTCCCAGGGGCTGCCCGCCCCCGATCCACAATTTCTGTGCCACCCCCCCGCCCCCCTCGGCCCCGTGTCCCTCCCGTGCCCCTCGTCCCTCGCGTGTGCCCAACCTCTCCCCCTCGGACCCCCGGCTCCCCGCCGTGCCCCGTCCCCGTGTGCCGGTGTCCCCCCCGACCCTCCGTGCCCCACGGTGCCCCCCTCCCCCGGTGTCTGTACCCCCCGTGACCCCGGTTTCCCCCGGTCCCGGTGCTCCCCACGCACTCACCGCAGACGCGGGGCCGCTCGCTCAGCCCCGCCGCATCCCGCCGCGATCGGGGGGGGGGGGGGGGGGGTTCCCGGGGGGGGTCCAGCCGCCTCGGTGTCCCGGGTGGGGGGTCCCGCTGACGCAGGAGCCGATACCCGGTGGGGGGTATTTCGTACTCCGGGCGGGGCGGAGGGGGGGGGGGGGGGGGGGGTGTTGTCCCGGCGGCTCCCGGTGTCCCGGCCCCGCTCTCTCGCTCTTCGCGAAGTTTTCTCCTTTGTCTCCCGCTGTCCCGCCCCGCCCCGCCGCACCGGGACGGCCCCCGGTACCGGGACGGCCCCCGCGCCCCCGCCCGGATACGGCGGAACGGCCGGCACCGGGACTGCGACGGGACCCCCCCCCCCCCCCGCCGTAGGACACCGGGGCCAGGAGCTGCCCCTGCACCCTGGGCGGTGGGACTGGGGGAAACTGGGAGGCGCTGGGGGGGGAGGATGCTGCAGGGCCTGGGGGGGCACTGGAGGTCGCAGAGAGGGCACTGGGGGACCGGGGGGGGGGGGGGTGGAGGGATAGGATGGACAGACTGACAAGGGGGGTGGACACGGGGAAGGGGGGCAGCAGGTCGGGGGGACACCCCAGAGCACAGGAGGCTATCGGGAACCCCCAGGCTATAAGGACTCTCCAGACTATAGGGGGCTATGGGACCCCCCCCGGCCATATGGGGCTATAAGGACTCTCCAGACTATAGGGGGCTATGGGAACCCCCAGGCCATATGGGGCTATAAGGACTCTCCAGACTATAGGGGGCTATGGGAACCCCCCCGGCCATATGGGGCTATAAGGACTCTCCAGACTATAGGGAGCTATGGGAACCCCCCAGGCCATATGGGGCTATAAGGACTCTCCAGACTATAGGGGGCTATGGGACCCCCCCCGGCCATATGGGGCTATAAGGACTCTCCAGACTATAGGGGGCTATGGGACCCCCCCCGGCCATATGGGGCTATAAGGACTCTCCAGACTATAGGGGGCTATGGGACCCCCCAGGCCATATGGGGCTATAAGGACTCTCCAGACTATAGGGGGCTATGGGAACCCCCCAGGCCATATGGGGCTATAAGGACTCTCCAGACTATAGGGGGCTATGGGACCCCCCCCGGCCATATGGGGCTATAAGGACTCTCCAGACTATAGGGGGCTATGGGACCCCCCCCGGCCATATGGGGCTATAAGGACTCTCCAGACTATAGGGGGCTATGGGACCCCCCCCGGCCATATGGGGCTATAAGGACTCTCCAGACTATAGGGGGCTATGGGACCCCCCCCGGCCATATGGGGCTATAAGGACTCTCCAGACTATAGGGGGCTATGGGACCCCCCAGGCCATATGGGGCTATAAGGACTCTCCAGACTATAGGGGGCTATGGGAACCCCCCAGGCCATATGGGGCTATAAGGACTCTCCAGACTATAGGGGGCTATGGGACCCCCCAGGCCATATGGGGCTATAAGGACTCTCCAGACTATAGGGAGCTATGGGAACCCCCCAGGCCATATGGGGCTATAAGGACTCTCCAGACTATAGGGGGCTATGGGAACCCCCAGGCCATATGGGGCTATAAGGACTCTCCAGACTATAGGGGGCTATGGGAACCCCCAGGCCATATGGGGCTATAAGGACTCTCCAGACTATAGGGGGCTATGGGACCCCCCAGGCCATATGGGGCTATAAGGACTCTCCAGACTATAGGGAGCTATGGGACCCCCCAGGCCATATGGGGCTATAAGGACACTCCAGACTATAGGGGGCTATGGGAACCCCCAGGCCATACGGGGCTATAGGGGATCCCGAGGCTCTTGGCGATGCCAGGGCCAAGTGGAACCCGATGGGGCCCCAGCGTCAGGTGGCCATAAGGGCCTATAGAGGATCTGCAGGCACCGTATGGAGTGCCATAGGGGAGCCGAGGCTGTGGGGGGGGCACCGAGGCCCCGCGGGGTGGGAACCCCACGGCCATACAGGGCTGCGGGGGGTCCCCGGGACATACGGAACTAAGGCAGGGCGCTAGAGGGACCCCCGGCTAGACGGGCGGGGGGCACAAGGACCCCGAGGCCACCCCGTCCCACGTGGTCGGTGGGGGCCTGCTCGGGCCACGCCCCTCGCGCGTGCCTCCCGGGGGGGGCGGGGCTTCCCCCCCCCCCCCCTCCCCTCAGTGCGCCTGCGCGTTGGGCCCAGCCTGCACGTGCCGGGCCTGGTGACCTTCCGGCGGCGCGAGGCGAGGCGGGGCACGTGACCTGACGTGACCTCCGCGTGATCCCGGGGAGCCCTTGGGGGGCAGAGCCGGGCCTTACCCCCCCCCCCCCCCCCTCCCCCGGTTCCCCGGAGCAGTTCGGGGCCTTCGGGCTGGTGTCAGGGCCGAGGGGCCGCCAGGACACTCCGGACCCCCCGCCATGCCCCCGCGGCGCTCGGCCCGCCTCCAGGCCGCCGCCGCCTCCTCCTCCTCCGGATCCTCCGGCTCCTCCAGCTTCTCCGCCGGGCCCGGCACCGGCTCCAGCCCCGCCCCGGGGCGGGCCGGGGCGCAGAGCGGCTCCCCACCATTGCCGCCGGACCCCGACAGCCCGTGAGTGGGGGGAGAGCAGGGGGGTAGGGGCACTGCCGGCCCCAGGGCACGTCCCCACCACGGCCTAGTCCATCCCCACCACCTCCCTGTCCATCCCCACCACCTCCCTGTCCATCCCCACCACCTCCCTGTCCATCCCCACCACCTCCCTGTCCATCCCCACCACCTCCCTGTCCATCCCCACCACCTCCCTGTCCATCCCCACCACCTCCCTGTCCATCCCCACCACCTCCCTGTCCATCCCCACCACCTCCCTGTCCATCCCCACCACCTCCCTGTCCATCCCCACCACCTCCCTGTCCATCCCCACCACCTCCCTGTCCATCCCCACCACCTCCCTGTCCATCCCCACCACCACCCTGTCCATCCCCACCACCTCCCTGTCCATCCCACCACCTCCCTGTCCATCCCACCACCTCCCTGTCCATCCCCACCACCTCCCTGTCCATCCCCACCACCTCCCTGTCCATCCCCACCACCTCCCTGTCCATCCCCACCACCTCCCTGTCCATCCCCACCACCTCCCTGTCCATCCCCACCACCTCCCTGTCCATCCCCACCACCTCCCTGTCCATCCCCACCACCTCCCTGTCCATCCCCACCACCTCCCTGTCCATCCCCACCACCTCCCTGTCCATCCCCACCACCTCCCTGTCCATCCCCACCACCTCCCTGTCCATCCCCACCACCTCCCTGTCCATCCCCACCACCTCCCTGTCCATCCCCACCACCTCCCTGTCCATCCCCACCACCTCCCTGTCCATCCCCACCACCTCCCTGTCCATCCCCACCACCTCCCTGTCCATCCCCACCACCTCCCTGTCCATCCCCACCACCTCCCTGTCCATCCCCACCACCTCCCTGTCCATCCCCACCACCACCCTGTCCATCCCCACCACCACCCTGTCCATCCCCACCACCTCCCTGTCCATCCCCACCACCTCCCTGTCCATCCCCACCACCTCCCTGTCCATCCCCACCACCTCCCTGTCCATCCCCCCCACCTCCCTGTCCATCCCCCCCACCTCCCTGTCCATCCCCCCCACCTCCCTGTCCATCCCCACCACCTCCCTGTCCATCCCCACCACCTCCCTGTCCATCCCCACCACCTCCCTGTCCATCCCCACCACCTCCCTGTCCATCCCCACCACCTCCCTGTCCATCCCCACCACCTCCCTGTCCATCCCCACCACCACCCTGTCCATCCCCACCACCTCCCTGTCCATCCCACCACCTCCCTGTCCATCCCACCACCTCCCTGTCCATCCCCACCACCTCCCTGTCCATCCCCACCACCTCCCTGTCCATCCCCACCACCTCCCTGTCCATCCCCACCACCTCCCTGTCCATCCCCACCACCTCCCTGTCCATCCCCACCACCTCCCTGTCCATCCCCACCACCTCCCTGTCCATCCCCACCACCTCCCTGTCCATCCCCACCACCTCCCTGTCCATCCCCACCACCTCCCTGTCCATCCCCACCACCTCCCTGTCCATCCCCACCACCTCCCTGTCCATCCCCACCACCTCCCTGTCCATCCCCACCACCTCCCTGTCCATCCCCACCACCTCCCTGTCCATCCCCACCACCTCCCTGTCCATCCCCACCACCTCCCTGTCCATCCCCACCACCACCCTGTCCATCCCCACCACCACCCTGTCCATCCCCACCACCTCCCTGTCCATCCCCACCACCTCCCTGTCCATCCCCACCACCTCCCTGTCCATCCCACCACCTCCCTGTCCATCCCACCACCTCCCTGTCCATCCCACCACCTCCCTGTCCATCCCACCACCTCCCTGTCCATCCCCACCACCTCCCTGTCCATCCCCACCACCTCCCTGTCCATCCCCACCACCTCCCTGTCCATCCCACCACCTCCCTGTCCATCCCCACCACCTCCCTGTCCATCCCCACCACCTCCCTGTCCATCCCCACCACCTCCCTGTCCATCCCCACCACCTCCCTGTCCATCCCACCACCTCCCTGTCCATCCCCACCACCTCCCTGTCCATCCCCACCACCTCCCTGTCCATCCCCACCACCTCCCTGTCCATCCCCACCACCTCCCTGTCCATCCCCACCACCTCCCTGTCCATCCCCACCACCGCCCTGTCCATCCCCACCACCGCCCTGTCCATCCCCACCACCGCCCTGTCCATCCCCACCACCGCCCTGTCCATCCCACCACCTCCCTGTCCATCCCCACCACCTCCCTGTCCATCCCCACCACCTCCCTGTCCATCCCCACCACCTCCCTGTCCATCCCCACCACCACCCTGTCCATCCCCACCACCTCCCTGTCCATCCCCACCACCTCCCTGTCCATCCCACCACCACCCTGTCCATCCCACCACCTCCCTGTCCATCCCCACCACCTCCCTGTCCATCCCCACCACCTCCCTGTCCATCCCCACCACCTCCCTGTCCATCCCCACCACCTCCCTGTCCATCCCCACCACCTCCCTGTCCATCCCCACCACCTCCCTGTCCATCCCCACCACCTCCCTGTCCATCCCCACCACCTCCCTGTCCATCCCCACCACCTCCCTGTCCATCCCCACCACCTCCCTGTCCATCCCCACCACCTCCCTGTCCATCCCCACCACCTCCCTGTCCATCCCACCACCTCCCTGTCCATCCCACCACCTCCCTGTCCATCCCACCACCTCCCTGTCCATCCCCACCACCTCCCTGTCCATCCCCACCACCTCCCTGTCCATCCCCACCACCTCCCTGTCCATCCCACCACCTCCCTGTCCATCCCACCACCTCCCTGTCCATCCCACCACCTCCCTGTCCATCCCACCACCTCCCTGTCCATCCCACCACCTCCCTGTCCATCCCACCACCTCCCTGTCCATCCCCACCACCTCCCTGTCCATCCCCACCACCTCCCTGTCCATCCCCACCACCTCCCTGTCCATCCCCACCACCTCCCTGTCCATCCCCACCACCTCCCTGTCCATCCCCACCACCTCCCTGTCCATCCCCACCACCTCCCTGTCCATCCCCACCACCTCCCTGTCCATCCCCACCACCTCCCTGTCCATCCCCACCACCTCCCTGTCCATCCCCACCACCTCCCTGTCCATCCCCACCACCTCCCTGTCCATCCCCACCACCTCCCTGTCCATCCCCACCACCTCCCTGTCCATCCCCACCACCTCCCTGTCCATCCCCACCACCTCCCTGTCCATCCCCACCACCTCCCTGTCCATCCCCACCACCTCCCTGTCCATCCCCACCACCTCCCTGTCCATCCCCACCACCTCCCTGTCCATCCCCACCACCTCCCTGTCCATCCCCACCACCTCCCTGTCCATCCCCACCACCTCCCTGTCCATCCCCACCATCTCCCTGTCCATCCCCACCACTGCCCTGTCCCCGCAGGGAGCTCAGCAGCGGTGACTCTGGCAGCGACTTCGAGGACACGCTGCAGCCGCACAGCAAGCGGGGACCCCGCCAGCCGCCGAACCACGGCCTCGTACGTCCTGCCCCTTATTTCGGGCTGTGTCCCCTGCCCCGGGGCTGCTCCAGACCTCTGCCGTGTCCCCTCCCACCAGGTCTCAAAGCGTCCCCGGAGGAGGGAGCTCAGCGGGGATGGGAACGGTCTGGCTGTCAGCAACCCAGAGCAAAACACCTTCTTTGAGGCCATCCGGTCAGCCAAGATCGCTGTCGAGGTAACCTTGCTCACCCAGTGCCCTGGGGAGACGTAGCCAGCTCAGACAGGGGGTGAAGGGGCACGGGGGGGGCTGTATGTGGCTCAAGCAGGTGACTCAGGTGTCCCTGTCTGATTGCTTTTTGATGCCGCCTTCCTGCGCCCGCAGACAGTGGTGGACGACTGGCTGGAGACCTACAAACAGGACCGGGAGGCGGGGTTCCTGGAGCTCGCCAACTTTATCATCCGCTCCTGTGGCTGCAGAGGTGTGGAGGGGTCCCCACCAGGTGCTCTGTCCCCTCTGTGCTGCTGGTGGGGCCTGCCCCCCCCCCAGCCCAGGGACCCCCATTCCACCCCTGGCTCCTCTGGCAGGCGTGGTGACCCCAGAGATGTTCAGGCACCTGCAGAACTCGGAGATCATCCAGCAGCTGACAGAGAAGTTTGAGGAGGTGCGGGGCAGGTGTGAGGGGAAGGCGGCAGCCGGGGGGGTGGGGGGCCTGGCTCACCCCAATTCTCCCGCAGGATTCAGCCGATTACCCCCTCTCGCTGAGCACCCAGCCCTGGCGCCGCTTCCGGGCCGGCTTCTGCGAGCTGGTGACAGTGGTGGTGCGGCAGTGCCAGTACAACATCGTCTACGATGAGTTCCTGATGGACGCTCTCATCTCCCTGCTCACTGGCCTCTCCGACTCCCAGGTGCGGGCTTTCCGCCACACCAGCACCCTGGCAGGTAGGCAGGTCCCTGGGGGTGTGTGTGTGTGGGGGGGGGGGGCTCCCCAGGGGGGTCCCCACTCCCACTGCGCTGCCCTCCCAGCCATGAAGCTGATGACGGCCCTGGTGAACGTGGCGCTGGGCGTGAGCCTGCACCGGGAGAACAACCAGCGGCAGTACGAGGCCGAGCGGAGCAAGGGGCCTGGCCGCCGGGCCACCGACAAGCTGGAGGCGCTGATGGAGAAGCGCCGGGAGGTGAGCGGCGGTGGTGAGGGGGCTGGGTGGCGACGGCGGGGGGCCAGGCACCCCCACGCCGAGCCCCGCTGCGTCCCCCCAGCTCCAGGAGCAGCAGGAGGAGATTGAGAACATGATGAACGCCGTCTTCAAGGGCGTCTTCGTGCACCGCTACAGGTCGGGGCCAGCCCAGTGGCTCGGGAGGGGGTATGACTGGGGGAGAAGGGGCGCGGAGCGTGGGGGGGGGGGTGATGCGGGGGTCCACGGTGTGAGCCGGCGCGGTGCCGCACGTGGCAGAGATGTGGTGCCCGAGATCCGAGCCATCTGCATGGAGGAGCTGGGGACGTGGATGAGGAGCTACACGGCCTCCTTCCTCACCGACGGCTACCTCAAGTACGTCGGCTGGACCCTGCATGACAAGGTGGGCTCGGGATGGGGGGGGGGGCTGGGGGCCGTGGGGCTGGGCCGGGGGTCCCCGCTGACAGCCCCCCCCTTCCCTGCAGCAGCGGGAGGTGCGCTTGCAGTGTGTGAAGGTGCTGCAAGGGCTGTACTGCCGCCGGGACACGGCTGCCCACATGGAACTCTTCACCAGCCGCTTCAAGGTGAGCGGGGGGACCCCCAGGGGTCCCCCGGGTCCCTGCAGGCTGTCACCGACCGTGTCCCCCCTCGCCAGACCCGCATAGTTTCCATGGTGCTCGACAAGGAGCCTGACGTTGCCGTGGAGGTGGTGAAGCTGCTGACGCTGATGCTGGAGTGAGCGCAGGGCTGGGGCTGGGGGGGGGGGGACATGGGGTCCTCCAGTGAGAGGGGACGGACAATGGGGCTGGAGGGCGCCCAGGGGGGGGACAGGGTCCCGCTGTGAATGCGGGGCCCTGGGGCAGCGAGAACAGGGAGCCGGGCTGGGGGGACGGGAGGAGCGGGGACCCCCCCACTATTCCTTGTGCGCAGGAATGCGGAGGAGGCGCTGACGGAGGAGGACTGCCAGAGTGTTTACCCCGTGGTTTACGTATCCAGTCGGGCACTGGCCTCCGCCGCCGGGGTTTTCCTCTACCGCAGGTGAGCGGAGGGCCGGTGCCTGGCACAGCCCATCCCGTATCGGCGGCTGGCTCCCAGCCCACCGCTGCCCGGCACCGGGGCTGCTGTCACCCGGCCGCAGCCCCCCGCGAAAAGCTGAGCCTATCCTGCCTGCCAAACCCTGAGTCAGTCTCAATTTCCTCCCCCGCTTCGCCGTGGGGAGCAGCTGGCAGGCGGGCTGGCGGAGGCCGGCCGACGGGCTACCTTCATCCCGGACTCGTTAGTTTAACGGCAGTGGGACCGCCTGGGGGTCGCCGCAGGGCAAGCGCGAGCCCAGCACACGCTGGGTCAGTTGCCCCCCAAGCCCTGGCCGCCCGCCCCGCTCCTGCTCCTGCGCTCGGCTCCTGTTTATCTCGGCACAGGCCTTGGCGGCTCTTGGCAGCGGCGGGTGTTTGGGCTTGTCACGGCCCTGTTCCTCTGCACATCTGGGGCGGCCGCAGCTGCGCGCGCCGTCAGCCTGGGTCCTCCCTGTCCCGCGGGGCTCCGGGTTCGGGTGCCGCCCGAGGGTATGGGCTGGGGGTTGGGGGACACCCCCTGTGACTGCATCCCCTGGGGCTCTGTCCCCAGAGCGATGTAGGACCTGTCCCTTGGGGGGCTCCCCCCTGTACATCCTGCTCAGGCACTTGGGACCCCCGTGTCTGCGTCCCCTCAGGGCTCTGCCCCCTCTCACACCCAGCGTGGGCCCACGGGGACCCCCGTGTGACCTCGGACGTGTGTCCCCAGGCTGCTGGACCCCCAACGAGGGGTGGACAGGGAGCCATCTCGCGATGGGGACAACAGGGTCTTCTTCCGGCTGCTTCTGGCCTTCTTCATCGAGAGTGAGGTGAGAGGGGTCGCAGGGGGCCCGGGCAGGCTGGGGAGGGGGGGGCCCGGTGTGCCGCGACGGTCCCCTGTCCCCCCTCCCCAGCTCCACGAGCACGCAGCCTACTTGGTGGACAGCCTGTGGGACTGCGCCGGGCCAAGGCTGAGGGACTGGGACACCATCAGCGCTTTGCTGCTGGAAGAGTCGCCCACAGAGGGTACGGCACTACCAGGAAAACCACTGGAATGTGCTGGGACATCACGGAGGAGTCACTGGGACACCCTTGAGTTGTACAGAGATGCTGCTGGGATGCACTGGGAGATGCTGGGATGCTTTAGGATGTATTGAGAAATCACGGGGAGGCACCGGGGCACTGCTGCAATGCACTGGGCCATACTGAGGCATCCCTGGGAGAGTCTGGGACGTTACTGGGATGTGATGGGGAGGCGCCGAGTCGTCACTAGAACATACGGCAACATGCTCAAGTGTCCCTGGGGTGGGCTGCGACATTGCTGGGGCACTGGTGGGTGGTCGAGGGGGCATACTGGGATTTGTTGGGATGCACCGGGACCTGTGGGAATGCTCTGGGACCCCCCGGCACAGCCAAGGGGGTGCCGGGCCACCCCCCACCCCCCTCATTTCCCGTTCCCCCCTAGACCTGGCAGACCGGCAGGAGAAGGCGCTGGTGGAGATCCTGGCAGCCAGTGTGGTCCAGGCAGCCGAGGGGCAGCCCCCGGTGGGCCGCGGCCCGGCCAAAAAAGTAACGGGGACCCAGGAAGGGGCTGGGGAGGGGGCGGGGGGGCCCCCCTGGGCCGCCCTGAGCCCCCCTTTCTGCCCTCAGCCCTCGGCCCGGGAGCGCAAGGCGCAGGTGGAGGAGAGAACCCGGCTCACCCACTGCCTTGTCCCGGCCCTGCCCCAGCTGCTGGCCAAGGTGAGGGGGATGGGGCCCCCTGCCACCCCAGGGGCCTGGGGGTGGGGGGGGCGTTCAGTGCTGACACCCCCACCTCCCCTGGCCCCCCCCAGTTCTCGGCCGATGCTGAGAAGGCGGCTCTGCTCCTGGAGGTGCTGCGCTGCTTCGACCTCAGCATCTACTGCACCGGGCGGCTGGAGAAGGTGCTTCCCCCTCACCCCCCGGGCAGGATCCGACCCCCCCTGGGGAAATGGGTCTGCTGGGATGGGATGCTGAGGCCTCTGGGTGTCCCCATCGGGGTGCTGCGTCCCTGCGTCCCCATCGGTGTGCTGCGTCCCTGTTCCTTTTGGGGTTCTGCATGTCCCTGTCCCCATCGGGGTTCTCTGTGTCCCTGTCCCCATCGAGGTGCTGTATCCCTGTCCTTGTTGCGGTGCTGTGTGCCCTGTCCCGGTCAGGGTGCCGTGTCCTTGTTCCCGATGGGGTTCCTGTCTGCGTCCCCTGCGCCCCCCATCAAGGGGCTGTCCCTGTCCCCTTGGGGGGCCCATGGCTGTGCTCATCCTCTCCAGTGCGTGGCCGTAGATCCCTGTGGGAGGCTGCAAGTCCCCTCGTCCCCCCGGGGAGGCGTCGCATCCCCATGCCCCCTGCAGCCCCTGCCTCCCCCTCTCCCCGCAGCACCTGGAGCTGGTGCTGGGCCAGCTGCAGGAGGTGGTGGAGAAGCACGCGGGGCAGGCGGTGCTGGAGGCCGCCTCCCGTGCCCTCCACGCACTCTGCGACCCTGAGCTCACCCTCCACGGCCGCGGGGACCTGGTGCGCAGCCGCCTCGCCGACCAGCTGGCCGACAAATTCCACCAAGAGGTCACCGAGCTGCTCCAGGTAGAGGGGACGGGAGCGGGACCCCGAGTCTGTGGTCAGGGACAGGCACCTGGATGTGGATGGAGCTCGGGCCACCCCAAGGCAGGGACTCGCACTCCAGGACAGGGCTGGGGACAGGAGAGGGACCGGGACCCGGAGGGACAGTGGTGGCTTGGGCAGGATTGGCAGGGAAGAGAGCCGATCTGGGAGGCACTGGGTGGGGGAACTGGCAAGGGACCACGGGGAGTGGGGTGTCGCCAGCCTCGCGTGGGTCCCCAACCCTGCGCGGAGCATCCCCAACCCCACGCTGGGGTGTCCCCAACCCTGGGCCCTGCCCAGGCCTCGTCCCTGGACGAGGAGGAGGTGTACAGCATGGCGGCCACACTGAAGAGGATCTCCATCCTGTTCAAGTGAGTGGGGAGCCGGGAGGCCACACCACCCCTCCGCCCGCATCCCCAGGGGTTCCCCAGTGTCCTTGTCCCCCTTCATGTGCCTCCCCTGTGCCCTGTCCCGTGGCATCCTGTACCTCTGCCTTGTGTGCCCCTGGCACCCTGCCCCATGTGCTCCCCGTGTCCCTGTCCCCATCCCATGTGCTCCCCGTGTCCCTGTCCCCTGCCCCATGTGCTCCCCATGTCCCTGTCATCATCCCATGTGCTCCCTGTGTCCCTGTCCCCGTGTCCCTGTCCCCTGCCCCATGTGCTCCCTGTGTCCCTGTCCCCATCCCATGTGCTCCCTGTGCCCCTGGCACCCTGCCCCATGTGCTCCCCGTGTCCCTGTTCCCGTGTCCTGTCCCCTGCCCCATGTGCTCCCCACATCCCTGTCCCCTGCCCCATGTGCTCCCCATGTCCCTGTCCCCATCCCATGTGCTCCCTGTGTCCCTGTCCCCACATCCCTGTCCCCTGCCCCATGTGCTCCCTGTGTCCCTGTCCCCATCCCATGTGCTCCCTGTGCCCCTGGCACCCTGCCCCATGTGCTCCCCATGTCCCTGTCCCTGTGTCCTGTCCCCTGCCCCATGTGCTCCCCGTGTCCCTGTTCCCGTGTCCTGTCCCCTGCCCCATGTGCTCCCCACATCCCTGTCCCCTGCCCCATGTGCTCCCCGTGTCCCTGTCCCCATCCCATGTGCTCCCCGTGTCCCTGTCCCCATCCCATGTGCTCACTGTGCCCCTGTCCCCTGCCCCATGTGCTCCCCACATCCCTGTCCCCTGCCCCATGTGCTCCCCATGTCCCTGTCCCCGTCCCATGTGCTCCCCGTGTCCCTGTCCCCATCCCATGTGCTCACTGTGCCCCTGGCACCCTGCCCCATGTGCTCCCCATGTCCCTGTCCCCTGCCCCATGTGCTCCCCATGTTCCTGTCCCCGTGTCCTGTCCCCTGCCCCATGTGCTCCCCATGTCCCTGTCCCCATGTCCTGTCCCCATCCCATGTGCTCCCCATATCCCTGTCCCCATCCCACGTGCTCCCTGTGTCCCTGTCCCATGTGCTCCCCATGTCCCTGTCCCCGTGTCCTGTCCCCTGCACTCCCCATTTCCCTGTCCCCGTGTCCCTGTCCCCTGCCCCACGTGCTCCCCATGTCCCTGTCCCCCAGCATCCTGTTTCCTGCCCCACATCTCCCCTCGCCCGGCTGACGCCCCTCTGTCCCTGCAGCGCCCACGACCTGACACCCTGGCAGCTCTTTGAGCCCTGCGCCCAGCTCCTGCAGCACACCGTGGACACAGGCGAGGTGCCTTCACAGGTACTGGTACCGCCCTGGGGACACAGTGGGGACATGGCAGGGAGGTGGCGGGGCTCCTCAGCCCCACGGCCATCCCTTGTCCGCATCCACCCCCACAGGTCCTTGTCCCTACCATCACCTGCCTCCACTTCCACATCCTCTGGGAGCTCTCACGCCTGCCCAGCACCGATGTCCCCCAGGTGAGCACAGAGACGGCCGCGAGGACAGTTTGGGGCGGCCTCCGTGTCCCTAAAGGCGACCGGGTCCCCCTTCCCAGGAGCAGCTGCGGAGCCTGAAGACCAGAGTCACCTCCTTCTGCTCGCTGTGCCAGAGCTGCCTGTCTGACGTGGACGCCGGTGTCCAGGAGCGGGTATGCAGGGGCTGAGAGGACGGCAGGGGGGAGATCCAGGCCTGGCACCGAGTCCATCCTCGTGCCCTCAGGCCTTCATGGTGCTCAGTGACCTGCTGCTGGTGTTCGGGCCCCAGCTGCCGCAGGACGGGCGGGAGGCACTGGCCCCGCTGGTGCTGCTGCCCGACGCCGGGCTGCAGTCCCAGCTGGCCGCCTTCCTCATGGACCACGTTTTCAACCATGCCTGCAGCCACGAGGAGCTCTCGGCCACGGGTACGTCCCCTCCACGCTACCTTGGGGGGGGGGGGGGTGTTCCCCCAGGGTACCTCTCCCCTCCACACACACACCGTCCCCTCCTGTCTCCGCAGAGGACGGCGAGAGCCGCATCGAGGAGCTGCACCAGCGCCGGGTGCTCCTGGCTGGCTTCTGCAAGCTCATCATCTACAACGTGCTGGAGCTCAGCGCCGCCTCTGATGTCTTCAAGCACTACGCCAAGGTAGGGGATGCACGGGAGGGCTCTCCCCCCTCTCCCCCCGGCCCCACAACGCCCTGGGGACATCGACACACACCCCGCCACCGGCCCCCGTCACCTCCTCCCCCATCGCCTGCTCCCCAGTTTTACAGCGACTATGGGGACATCATCAAAGAGACGCTGAACTGCACCCGGCAGATCGACCGGCAGGAGTGGGCTCGCACTCTGCTGCTCAGCTTGCAGCAGGTACGCCGCCGGCTGGGGGGGTTCTGGGGGTCCCTAGGGTTGTCCTCCAGGAGGCTGTGAGGGTCTCTGAGAAATCTGGGGGGTCTCCAGGGGTGTCTTCGGGGTGCTGTAGGGAGGCCTGGGAGGCTCCAGGAGATGAGGATAGAGTTTGGGGAGTTTGGGGAGGTCTGGGAGGCTCAGGGGGACTCTGGAGGGGTAGGAGGGCATCCAGGAAGTTTGGGGGCTCCGCGTGAACCTGGGGGTCTCCAAGGGGTCCCGCACTGACCCTCTGCCCCTGCGCAGCTGATGACGGAGCTGCTGCTGCAGCAGGGCCCCGAGATCCAGGCAGCCAAGGGTTTCCTGGAGATCCGGGACCTAGCGCGGCGTTTCTCCCTCCTCTTCAGCCTCCACCAGCTCCGCAACCGCCCAGCGCTGCTCAGCGTGCACAGGTACAAGGGGCTGGGGGGGGGGGGGGGGGGCCGGGGGGGGCCGGGCTAGGGCTCACCTTTACCCCTCATCCCTCTTCCCTGGCCAGGGAGGGGATCCAATTCGCCTTCCAGGAGCCGCCAGGCCCCGGGATGGGGCTGCTGCCCCTCAACCTGCCCTTCCTGGAGGTGCTGAGCGAGTTCTCGCCTCGGCTGCTGCGTCCTGACAAGGCCCTGATGTGAGTGGGGGGACGGGGCGGGATCCCATTTGGGTCCCCAGGGGCCACGTGGGGTCGATGCGGGGTCCCCCAGCACCCCACAGGTCCCTGGTGCCGTGTCACCCAATCCCCCCCACAGCCTGGCCTACCTGGAGAAGATGTGCCAGGAGCGGCGGTGGCTGGCACCACAGGACACGCCGTGGCCGTCCCTTGTCACCTACCGCAACTCCCTGCAGCCGCAGGAGGAGGGGGGCTCTGTCAGCAGCCGCAGCACAGCCCCCCGCCCGCACCCCCCGCCCAGCTCCGCCGCCAAGAGACCCCGCATGGATGGTGAGACCCGGGGGACCCCATGTCCTGGGGCAGTGCCACCCCCAGCACCCAGGCTGTGGGCTCTGCGGGGCTGGGAGGGTTTGCCCCTCGCTGGGGGGACCAATTTGAGTCTCCCCAGTACAAAGGGAGGGTCACCGCAGGGGAGGAAGCCGAGAGGTGGTTTGTGTCGGTGCTGTCACTGGCAGAGCCAGGCTGTCCACAGGAGGGGATGGGACAGGGACATGGCTGAGGGATATTAGGGTGTGAGGATGGCGTGGGGGGTTCCCCACGCTCGGCCCTCTCCTGCAGCCCCCTCGGAGCACCCCAACTCCAGCCCATGGCCGAGCAGCCGCCTCCCCAGCCCGGCCCTGACCTCCACGATGCTGCAGGGGGGCCCCCGGCCCCCCCAGCCCTGGCTGCCAGCGCAGGACCCTGGTTCTGACCCCAGCTTCCTGCAGAGGTGAGTGGCTGGGTTAGGGGGTGAGGGTCCCCCTTCCTGCCCAGGGCACCCCCCTGATTCCCCATCCTCTCCTCCAGCACCAGCTCACTGTCCCGCCAGCGCAGTGGGATGAACCGGTGAGTGAGGGCCAGGGGACTGGGGCTGCTGGGGGGGAACAGGGTGGGCATGAGGGGGACCAGAGTGGGCACTGGGGCTGTAGGGGGAGAGTCCTGGGGAGGGTCCTCCATCTCCCACCTCCCTCCCTTCTCCCCCAGGCTCAGTCTGATGATGGAGGAGGAGGAGGAGGAGGTGATTGAAGAGGAGAGCAGCAAGAACACCCCAGAACAGAAGGTGAGGTGTCCCCCCGCCCACCTGCAACTGCAGGGGTGGGGCCAGTGGTGCCCTGGGGTGCCCCCCACCCCACCCAACCCCAATCTGCCTCCCCCTCCCCTGCCCCCGACTCTGCTGGACCCCCAGGACCAGCTCCGGGACCTCTTTGACTCCACCATCCTGGGAATTGAGGTGAGCATGCACGGACCCCCCCCCCAAAAGGAGAGCCCTCCCCTCACCCACTTTGGGGGAGTCTCACAGGACATCCCCCCCCATCACTCCCCACAGGACAGCTGAGCGAGCGAGCCCCGGTAGCACGGAGCACTTTGGTGCCTGTTTATTGTTGTTACAACCCCAAATCTGGGGGAGCCCGGCGCCCCGGGCCCCGTTTGGTGACGGTTAAATAAATACTTGGTTGACAGCCGGCGTAGGGGCGCAGGTTTCCCTTTCAGGGCACGCTTTCCTGCCGTCGGGGGGGCCGTAGGGGTGCGGGTTTTGGCGGAGTGAGGGGGGTTCCCCCCCTCAGAGGCGCAGCACGTAGGAGTCGCTGTGGGTGAGGTAGCGCACCCAGCGCTGGGGGGGCCTGGCTGGCCCCAGCAGCCGCACGAAGCGGACGTGCAGCCCTGAGCACGTGTGCGCCGGCAGCTCGAAGGCCAGGTTGGCCGGGCCCAGCTCCAGCAGCGACGCGCGGCTCAGCCCCGGCACCTCCAGCTGCGGGGAGGGCATGGTGCCCCACGGTCACCCCCCAGGAGCAGGGAGGGGACGGGTCGCTTGCCTGTCCCCGAGCTCCGGGGAAAGGGGGGGGGGGCCATGGGGGGAGCTCCCTGCCCGGCACACCCACACCCCCCCACCCCGCCCCACCCCGCTCCTCGGTCCACCCATCCCTCACCTTGAAGAGAGCGGAGAGCTGTGACCCCCCCTGGCATCGCGGGATGTCCCAGCGGATGGATTTGGTGCCGGGCTGCAGCTCGGCCGTCTGCTCGGGGCTGCTCAGCTCCTGTGCCAGGCTGGGGGGGGGGGCAAGGGGGGGGGGCACGAGGAGGGGGTGAGGGGGTGACAAGGTGGGAGACAATCCCCCCCCCCCCCCAGACCCCCAAATGCCGGCACCCACCTGCTCACCCCCTTGGGTACAGGCAGCTGCAGGCGGACGTTGAGGGCTTGGCTGGAATATTTGAGGTGGGGGGGGGGTGTCAGGGGCCAGACTCTGCTGTGTCCCCAGCCCCCCCCCCAGATTCCTACCTTTTGGGGGGCAGGTCGCAGCGGAGCTTCAGGTACAGCCGGAGCCTGCAGGGAAACAAGGACGGTCAGAATTGGGGTCAGCCCCCAGGGATGGTCAGAATGGGGGTGACCCGCCCACCCCACCCACCCACCCACTCACCTCCCCGTGGGGTCCTGGTCCACGGTGGGGAAGAGGCGGAAGGGCAGAGGCGAGGGGATGTCATCAGCCAGCTGGTACTGCATGAGCGTGAGCTGGGGGAGATGGGGCTCAGGGTGGGGGGGAGCTGCCACAGCCCTCCCCCCTCTCCCCATGTCCCCCGGCGTCTCTCACCTCCCCCTGGCTCGGGGTGACCTTCAGGACCCTCCCGCTCTCAAACTCATCCAGCTTGATGGAGCTGTGGAAGGCGCATTCGTCCACCCGGACGGCCGTGCCGTACCCTGGGGGGGGGAGGGGGGGGCAGAGAAGGGCACTATGGGGTGGGGGGGACAGAGCAGGGGGGTGTTGGGGGGTGCTGGAGGGCAGAGGGACCTGGAGAGCTCACCCCGCAGCTCCGACTTGCCCACGCAGAACTCCTCCGTCAGCCCGATGCGCATCTCTGTGGGGATGGGGAACGGTGTGGGGTGACCCCGAGGGACGGCCCTGGCTGTGCATGGACCCCCCCCCCGGGCCCCCCTTACCCACGCAGCTGGGCAGGTAGCACTTGAGGCGGATTTCCCCCTGGACATCCACCTTCATGGGTGTCCCCTGGGGAAGAGGACAGGACGTGTGGGTGAGATTTGGGGAGAACATAGGGGTCCCAACGAGGGGGGGGGGGCAAAACACCCAGGGGACATGGCCCCCCCAACGCTCTGGGGACATGCTGAGTTGGGGAGGGTAGGGAATCCCTGTCCCCACTCACATTGGCGGCGATGACCACCGTCAGCCTCTCCACCACGTCCACAAAAACCTCGTTCCTGGTGCCCTAAAGCCAGAGGGGGGGGGGGGGTCAAGGCTTTTTTTTGGAGAGGGGGGGGAGGGGGGCAATGAGGTGACAGGGCATCATGGTGGGGGGGGGGGTCCTACCTGCTCCCCCCGGGGCGGCAGCACGGGGCGGCTGGCGGCTGAGCTGGGGGCCACCTTGCTCTGCTGCGTCTCGGCGCCGAACTGCAATGACGGGGCAGGGGGGGGTGACACGGGGTTTGGGGTACCCCAGCCAGGCCTTGGGAGGCCGGGGGGGGTGGGGGGATTGGGGAGGGGGTGAAGTTTGGGGTGTCCCGTGGTCCTCACCAGCCCGATGGAGCCCAGGTCGAGGAGGCTGAAGGGTTTGGTGGCCACAGGCTCCGTGTGCATGAAGTTGCGCAGCACCTCGGGCGCTGTGGTCTGGATGTAGCCGTAGTCCTGGAGGGGCCGGGGGGGCGGGGGTTGTCACCCCCTCCCCAAAGCCATCCCATGTGGTCCCTGGGGGTGTCCTCTGCCCGCCCTCCCCCTCTGCCCCCCCAAAGTGTTCCCTGTCCTCTTCCCTACGGGGTGTCCCAACTGGGTGTTCTGGCAAGGTCCCCCTCACCCCCTGAACTGTCCCCAGCCCCAAAGGGGGGTCCCCACCACCCCAAGGTGTGTCCCCAGCCCCCTGAGGTGTCCGTCCCCCCCCCCCCCCTTCCCTCCAGGGAGTTCTCACCATGCCAAGGTGCACCCCCCCTCCTCAGTAGGGTGTCCCCAGCAATCCCCCCACCCACCCACCCAGCTCCCCTGGGTCACGTCCCCACCAGCATCTCATCCAGCAGCTCATAGATGAGGGCAAAGTTGAGGCTGACGTTCTTCTCGCTGAGGGGCCCGCAGAAATCCCGCAGCAGCGTCACCAGCCTGCAGGAGGGACCCACCCAGACATCAGGGGGGGGTCCCTGTCACACCCCCCCCCCCCCCATCCCAGGTCACCCCAGACCTGTTGAGGAACTCCACCAGCACGAAGGGGGACGCATCCGGCGTCGTGGTGGCCACGAAGTAGAGCCCCGCGTGCCTCACGTGGACAAAGTGCCGGCCCTCGTGTGCCTGGGGGAGGGGGCAGAGCTGGGACCCCCAGCCCCGTGGGTCCCCAATGGAGCCCCCCCCCCCGTCCCCCCGTCCCCCCTCAGCCTGCCCACCTTACCATGAAGACAGGGGCCTGGTCCCCTGGCAGCGACGTGATCCTGCGGTAGAAGGTGTCGGCGAGGTCCGTAGTGGTGCCGCAGGTCTCCCCACGGACTGGAGGGGGGGTTAAGGAGAATGGGGGGGGGGGTGGCCCTGGGGAGCCCCCCCAAAGAGGAGGGACCCCAGCGGGTGTGGGGGGGGGCGGTGGATACAGTCCTTGTGGATGAGCCGGTCACCCTTGGAGGAGAGGATGAAGATCTGGGACAGCATCGCCAGGCTGGGGGGACCAGGGTGGGGGGATCAGGGTGGGGGGGTGGGGAGGGTTGGTGTGGGCCCTGCAGCCCCCCTCGAGCTCTGTGCACCCCAAAACTGCCTGCCTGAGAGCCCCTGCCCCACCCCGGGCCCTGCACCAGAATCCCCAGCACCCCCAGTCCCACCCCAGCACCCTGAGCCCCCCCCAACACCCTGTTCCCCCCGCAGCACCCTGTGACCCCCCCCTGCACCCTGAGCCCCCCCCAACACCCTGTTCCCCCCCCCAGCACCCTGTGACCCCCCCCCTGCACCCTGTTCCCCCCCCAGCACCCTGAGCCCCCCCCAACACCCTGTTCCCCCCCCAGCACCCTGTGACCCCCCCTGCACCCTGAGCCCCCCCAGCACCCTGTTCCCCCCCCAGCACCCTGTTCCCCACCCTGCACCCTGTTCCCCCCCTCAGCACCCTCTGCACCCCAGGCCCCGCACCCCAAGATCCTCCCACCCACCCACAGAGCTCAGCATCCCCCAAGCCCCCCCCCCCCCCCGGATCCTTCTCCCCCTCCAGGCCCACAGTCCAGCGCGCCGCCCCGCCCCCCCCCGCCCGGACGCGTCCCCTTTAAGAAGGGGCGTGTCCAGCGCCCCTCCGCGCGCCCCCGAACCTGCGTCCCGCCGCCCGGCGGGTGGCGGTCACATGACACCGCCGACGGGGTGGGGTGTGACGTGACCCGGAGTGGAGGGCGTGGCCCGCGCAGGAGTGGGCGACGGCAGTCACGTGGTGCCGGTTTTCGCGCCACTTTTGGTTGCGGCGGCGCGGTCGGGGGTGGATCTCGCGGGGATCTGCCGCGGGATCGGGAGCGACACCGGGACCAGAACCGGCACCGACACCGACACCGGCCCCGGCCCCCGGGACCGCCCCCGCCATGGCACCGCGCGACTACGTCGCCGAGAAAGGTGCGGGGGGAGCGGGGAGGAACTGGGCCGGGGCGGGGGGGGGGGGGAACCGGGGAGCGGCCGGGGCGCCGTGACGGAGCCCCCCCACTTCCCCCCCCCCCCCCCCCCCCCAGAGAAGGCGAAGCGGTTCCTGCAGGAATTCTACCGCGACGGCGACGGCGGCGGCAAGGAGTTCCCGTACCGGGAGCAGCTGGTGAGAGCGGCCACCCGCGCCCCGGGGAACCGGGCCCGCTGTGGGTCCGACCCACCCCCCCGCGCGAGCCGGTGTGGGGTCCTGGGTCGTTCGTTCGTCCGTCCCCCCCCCCCCCCCCCGCCCCGCTGCAGCCCCCATGCCCCACGGCAGCTGGGGGTCCCTCCTGTCGCCCTGCCCCACTTGGGGTGCCCCCCTCCACCCTATTGGTGTCCCTGTTGTTGCCCTGCCCCGCTTGGGGTCCCTCCTGTCGCCCTGCCCCACTTGGGGTGCCCCCCTCCACCCTCTTGGGGTCCCTCCTGTCACCCTGGCCCTCTTGGGGTCCCTCCTGTCACCCTGCCCCACTTGCTGTCCCCCCCTCCACCCTATTGGGGTCCCTCCTGTCACCCTGCCCCACTTGCTGTCCCCCCCTCCACCCTATTGGGGTCCCTGTCATTGCCCTGCCCCACTTGGGGTCCCTACTGTCACCCTACCCTGCCTGGGGTCCCCCCCCACCCACTTGGGGTCCCTCCTGTCGCCCTGCCCCACTTGGGGTCCCCCCCTCCACCCTACTGGGGTCCCTCTTGTCTCCCTGCCCCACTTGGGGTCCCTCTTGTCTCCCTGCCCCGCTTGGGGTCCCCCCCCACCCGCTTGGGGTCCCTCCTGTCGCCCTGCCCCACTTGGGGTCCCCCCCTCCACCCTATTGGGGTCCCTCTTGTCTCCCTGCCCC